AAGCGCAGCGGGTGACGGAGACCCTTGCAACTTGAATGGCGGTTGAGTCAAGTTGCATACTTCGCTCAGCTTGTCCTTTCTCAATCTGGGTGTGCGATCTTCCAGCAGTGCAAGGAAATCCTGCAGGCCCTCTTCTATCGGCAAGTCTCGGGAGACCCTTGAAGCTGCACGCCGCCAGGAGTCCTCCCAATCAGCTGCAGCCGGTTGCGTAACAACTCATAGGAGGCAGACACAAACACACAGCACGCACACACAGACAAACATAGGCAAACACAGACATAGATACAAACACACGCAAGCGGGAAGGAGAAAGAGAAAGATCAAGAAGAAGAACAAGCAGAAGTAAAAGAAGGATAGACAAGAAAGCTGGCTTGCGCAATGTGGATAGTGAATTACCGCCCGGAAAGTTAGCTGGCAATTTTTAGTTTTTGTTTAGGATAGTAAAGTAACACTGAACAGTTGGCAATTTCAGCAATGGACCATCATCCGACAAATCCGACAAATTGGCAGATGTAACAACCAAACAGTCAGCTGGCAATTTTACCAATAGAGTCAAGCCCGGGAAGTCGGCAGGAGATGTTTGCCATGTCAAGTCTACGGAAGTTGATTATAAGAAGAACCCTTCGCATGCCTCAGAGGGAGAAAAAAAAAGAAAACAAAAACACGTCGCACCACAGAGTGAAGGTCCAACATGTCGAGTTTGAGGATCAAACGCGCCCTGAGAAGGGTTGATCCTCTTTTTGATCCCACGCATCCCTGCAACTCAAGGCATCAGAATGGGTTGACAGCTCTCCGCTTCGCCTGCCTCCACCTCTCGGATCTCGGCCATGGCGGCGAAAGCCGGGTGGTCACATCCAACGAATCTGCACCAAGGACGGGCTGGGAACCTTGCTTCGCCTCGGCCGCGGACCTGGGAATTGGCCCAAAATTCCGACCCCGGAAAGGCCTAGAGGTTCAACGGTCGGACCCGTCAGCGGCCAAGGCTCTTGCATGCGAACGGGTTCCAGGTGCAATGAAGCAAAAGGGTCCACATAGTTTGGGGTCATTCATGGAGTAAGTCAGGATAAGCCCATCAGTGCTGCAACATCTGCAACAAATGAGGTACGCGGGGCACCTGGTGGTCCTGATTGCTTTGTGTTGTTGGGTGGGCGATTTCAATACACCAAGGGTCCCAAAGTTTGCCTACAGCGCAATCTGGCTCAAAGCTTTTCCCCGAATGACTTAATCTGCTTCACCGCCAATCCGAACCAAAGAAGTATGACCAAAGTGAAGCCTCGCAACGAAGACTCCTGTGGCCGCGGGCCCATGAAAGGGTGGGTGAAAGTCTCGTCCCAACACTACTAGTGGGACAACAAACATTGGCTGGCATGTTCTAGCCTGCCTACTAAGTCTAAGTTTCAAACCGTACCAGCCAAGCGGATAACACGGGCCGAGACGCAATCATTCCGTTTTCCTCCTCCCACTTTGTCAGGTGCTCCGCAGTTGTCCAGGCCGGAGTGACAACCTGGACTGCCACCTGCCAGGGTTCCTCCGAATCTGAAACAGCCTCCAGATTTGGATATGGCTCAAAATACCAGTACCAAAATGGAACCCTGGTAAGTGGGAACATGGACCAAAACCTGCGTAAACCCCTCCTGCTTAATTTTGAGCCACACCCATTTGAACTTCGAACTCCCATTCTGACCTTGCCTGTGGCGGTCCAATAGGCACCTCGTGTCTGGCAGCTTCTTCGCGAGACCATTCAAGCCTGCCGGAGACCCCTTGAGTTCTTGGCCCAACAAGAGCAAAACCCACTCCAGATTGAGACATGTGCTTTGAGATTCCGAGCCCGGCTGAGACGTATACTGCAATCCCAACAAAGCGACTTGATGTGGACTCCTTGTTCATGCGCTGCTTGCCTCCACTTTCAAATGCCGTCTGAGAACTAGGACCTTACAACTAATCCTGGCTAACCTGGAGCGAGCGAAAATGACATGAGCACCTACAAAAGCAATTCTAAACTGTGCCTTGCTCATCTAAAGCTTCGTCAGGATGCGTCGCGGTTTGAACTGAGAGATTCATAGAGATCCAACCCTCAGCTTTCAGTTGACAAATCATCTCAAAGAGGGTCAGCCTGGTGTAGCTCGGGCAGTTCTTCCGCTGTTGTGCTGCTTATTTGCTCGTTGGTAAGTTTCCCTTCCTAAAATACAAATAAACACAAAGCGTGCTTCAGGTCTCCGCCAACCAACTGGAAAGCAATACCCCGGATATACCGCCTTCGGTACCACAAAAACAAACCAAACCAACCCTTAAAACCCAACCCCTAACTCGTTCTCACGGCTCCTGCGGGTGACCGGGCCAAACAGCGAATTCGTGAAGTTCGGCAGCTCCTGGGTACGAGGATTCTGTGGCCTTGACGCGGCTTGACAACAAGTATACCCAAAATCAGCTGATGCCGTCAATTCAAGAAAGATCAAGAAAGTCATTCCTACTCCTGACCATGGAGCTACCACTGAAGAGGAACAGAGTCCCTTGCTCCTCGTGCCACAGAAACGATCCGACCAACTCATTTGGCTTGGGTGAGGGGCAAGTGAAACCACTCCATGGATGCGTGCGCTGCACCTCGGTATGGGCCAAAGGGTGCGGTACAACGCTGCACGAACCATCCGTTTGGTGGGCAACGAAAGGCAAGCAAGCAGTCTGCCGAAGCAAACCTCCGTTTGAGCCTCCTTGTTCGATCCGTACTGCCTTCTTTTGAAGTCCCCAAATGCACCACTGATTGTAGATCAGCACCACAAATGAATCAGGCTGACCCTCTCTAACCACAAAAACGGGACAACCAATCAAAGATCAAAAAATGTGACTGTGTGACCAAGTGAAGCCTACACGGACCTCGCAACCCCTCCTTCCACATCTGTTCGGCAGTCTTGGCGCTGTGTGAGGAGAACGTGATTCTGTTGTCATAGGAGATGTCCCTAGCAGCCTGAAACGAGCGAAGCAAGGAGCACTGTGGGCCACTGAAGTGTGGCTGTGTGCCAGGTGGTTGCCATCAAGTGGCCACACAAATATGTAAGAATTGAAATGACTGCGCCGCATTGCGCGCTGTATGCCTCCCTTACACCTCCAGTAAAGCCATAGTTTCTTCGATCTGGTGCCCGGACCCTGGTTTGACTCTGTGACTCCTGACGCCTGGACACATACAGGAGCAGAGTAAGGCTGCTTCAAGCCTCTTGCCATCAACTGCCTCATTCCCAGGAATGCGCTGCTCACATCCATTTGGACATTGGACCATGGCTTGACACATTGCAATGCCCAGTGGCCTGCACTGACCTGCACAGGTCAGTCACCCAATTGAACGGTATGCGTTAGTGCGTTTGGGTCAAACTCACAACCAAAGCCACAGTCCGCTAGAAGGTGACAGTGCGGAACATACATGTTTGCTTTGCAAACAGTTGTGACGCGGCACTGAGAGAAAATATTCATATTTGCCTCGATCCATGACCGAGCACATACCCCTCCAAACATGAAGGGTCCCAAAACAGAACAGTTTTCCCAGGAAGCTCTTCTTGGTATCCTTCATCTTCTTTTCGGGTGCCGAGAGCAGGCGTCGAAGTCCCTCAGCTCTTGCGCGCGTGGACGCGCTACGCGCAGGTCCCCGCCTCTTCGAGGCGCCCAGCCACAGCCAGCAAGGTGCCATCGGTGAGCAGCAGCAGCGCCGCCAAGTGGTCCAGGCCGTCGCCCACCCACTGAGCCAAACGTCGACCGAATCCACCCCACGCGCTGGCGGTCCGCCCCAAACGCAACTTTAGGAGTCGCCTTTTTTTGGGGAAAGACCTGATTCTGAAATTCGAGGGAGCCGCTGAACCGCCCGAAAGTACAGGCAACAGCAACACCAAGGCATCAAGTGTCACTGACTGAGTGCAAAGTCGCCAGAGGAAAGGTCTGCTACCTGTCTGTTGTTAAAAGTGTGAACTCATAAAGCGGCAATGTGAGATTAGCACATAAGCACGGCACAACAGGATACAATAGGTAGCTAAAACTGTGCAAGATTACGAATCTCAAAACCACATGTGGTGACCGCCCCAGACCACTCCCTTGGACCTGGAGCTCAAGATGCTCAGCTAGCAGTAGAGTCAAGAAAGCCCGCCCCGAACCAAGACAGTGGTATCATGGTACAGTAGTGTGGATTGACCTTGTCTCTGGATGCTTTGAAACGACGCACAGTTTTAGCAGACCCTCAGCCCCTGAAATGTGACCCGTCCGGGCCGAGTTGCATGAAATGTCGCTTGAAGTGCCAGCACCACTGCAATTTGGCTGGGTGCTACTCCAAAAGCCTCCCACGGGATCCAGGACTCCAACATCTGTCTGTTCATCGCGATGGTCTCCAGCTTGATCATTGGCCCATCGTCCTCGTCTGAAGACGCACCCGAGTCGCCCTGTAGTCTCCCTTCCGGGTCTGCGCTGAAGATGAGCGGGCCTGCGCAGGGCCCGGCCAAAAGACATGCTGGTCGGATATTATAGATGCAAAGGCAGAGTTGTGATGAGTTGCGCTGTTTCCTTGCTGGAACAAAGCCCGTAAACATACAACGGCTACGGCACATGCGCGAAGCGGGCGGGCTCATTTGAGTATGATGTCGCAGCCGTCACTCTTGCAGCAGCACGGACTAACTGAAACAACAAGACCTGAGACAATGCGCGCATATTCCTCGTGCCTTGATCGGAGAAGTGAATCCCAGTGGCATTGGTCCGTGCAAGCTTTTGAGGGGTGCTGCCTATTTCAACTAAGCAATAATTAAGTGCTAACTTCCAGCATGGACCGCGTCTCATCTGAACAAAGTCGCGTTGCAAACCAACTCGGAAGCTCCAACTTTGGCCAAACTCGACTCTGTTTGACCCACAGTGGTTAGATTACAAACATGGCCTAAGAAGATCCCCCACCCCAACAGCAATACACAAAGTAACCATGATCTGCAAACCAGGGACAAAACGTCATGACCATTGCCCGGCTTCAAGCGCCCTAACTCCCCCGGAACCCTGTCCTCGTGACATGATCTCTAGCAGCACAGGGCACTCGAACGCACGGAGCGCGCACGCAAAGGCTTTGGCATCCTGGCGAGCAACGCGCGTTCTTAAACCCTGCGCGGGACACGAAAGGAACGCCTTCTGACTCATGGGCCAGGACAACATCATGTGGCATGTTCATAAGGTTGGCATGGTGTGTTGGTTTCGCGCGCCACGAAATCCTGCACCACCTAAGAAACCCGAATGAATGATGATTCCCTCACAAATACCAACAAACACTGGTTCGCCATGGTCTCAGCATGGTGCAGGATTTCGTCAATTCACAGTAGGGGAATGTGAAACTCACTTGTTGTACTTTTGGGTTCGCTCTCCACACCCCGACTGCAATGAACCTGGCAAATCGTTTGGATCCGAAGGTACGCCCGTCTCGTGAATGGGGCAACGCAGGATGTTTGGGAATGAGTCCTGCCAGAGTTCTGAAAGTATGCTTGTTTCATGCAGGGGGAGTTGTTTTTAGGTGGCCCTCGTACATGGCTCAGCAGGCTCCAGTGGAGCCCTTCTCATAAAACTGAGCATTCCTGAGCGGACGGTCCCCCAACAACCCCCCTCCTCTGAATGGATTTGTGCTAATGTGCTTCAGGGAATCCGAACTTCCCATTCTGCCTCTCCCTTTCGAGAGCGCACAATGTGGTCACAGCATCCTTGCATCAAAAAGAGGCTCAACTTGACGGTAAATGGATCAGTCCACCCGCACTCTCAACCAACCAGGAGCCCTCAAAAAAAGGCGAAACTTTGAACCAGGCCTTCACTCATCCAAATCATGCCGTTTCCCACCCGGTACCGAGCCAGTGTTAAGTATGCAGATACCGTGCTCCACTTCGTCCCTGGCTTCGTGCGAAGGGCCGTGTGCCCTTCTCAAGTTGAGCATAGACTGGACAACTATTCGGACCAAACCTTGCATGGCCCTGGACTTGACTCAAGATTTATTGTGGAAAAAACACGGACATGGCGACATGTCTCATGCGATGCCTTCCAGCGAAGCGCGGAGGGCGCCTCAGCCGGGCGCAGCACCTTCAGGGGCCAGGGCCGCCTCGTCAGCGACACCGTGGCGCCTTCCACCAGCAGCTCTGCGAAGCCCTGAGCCGAGCGGAACGGAACGGCGAACGCCCATCTGGGTGAATTATAATATTTCACCAACCTGTAATAAGGTGGTTGGGGGGCTGTTCCCCACATAAACCACCATTTGGGGTGAGGTCGTGTGAGGTCGTTATAATTCACCTAGGCACATCGACCAAGGAAGCGCCATAGACCCGAATTCGGCAAGGTTCCCTAGCGCCTTGGACCTCATTTCAGGCCGGAAAGGGGGTAGGCCCCATGTAACCTGGGCTCCTTGGGCTCGCAAAGCTGGGAAGGCCCGCTCAAACTGCACACCGTACATGTGAAATACACGGTCGCGTGCAAATGTTAGGTACGTCATGTTGCGCACTGTCTGTACATTAGTGTTTATGCTGGACATGTTCGTATCTCCTGGCCTTGGGATGTGCAAGCCAAACAAAGGACTGAGGACATCTCCACGTGGAGCGACGCATGTACTCAAGGAATTGTAAAAGCTTTGGAACACTGCGGCAGGGCCACAGCACGATCTGGTTTTGAAGAAGGTTCTGATTGAGCAATGCTCGCCCACATCATAAAATAGGTTGGCGCGGCCATTGCAAACCATTTCAAGGAAGCTAGCAAAAAATCACGAGCAAACCAACAAACTGACACACGTCAAGCCAGCACTCCGGACTCCCCATACAACTCCATCAATTCACGAGGACTGACAAGCTCCAACAGCTTTCAGCTGCTTGCCATGGGAAGGCCTGGTCATCTTGGATGAAGGTATGGCCAATGGCCAGCATCTGTGTGCAGACCAGCTCCTGGGCAGATTGCTAAAACGTCGGTGGCCAGTTTCCCACATTCCCGGAACAACAAACACCTGAATCACCTGGGCCAATGCTCAATGCTCCCTTTAGAAAGGATGTAAGATATGTCACCTGGCGTTGACCCACAGCAAGGAGCAGTGATGAATCGCTTCGGATGACTATTTTCAAAAGGGGGTGGGTGCATCCCGATCTGCAATCCGCAGTGGGAGCCACAACAAAAGGGGAAAAAAAACATAAGGACGAACGGACGAAGGATTTATTTTGAGCCCAGTTTTGTTTAAAGAACCAGTCACAAAACTGCGCGTCCTCGTGATGTCACGTCCAAGAAACATTGACAACAACCCAGCCCAAATGGAAATCCAAACGGTTGCCTCCGATTTACACCAGTGCGAACGTGCATAGCACGACCATCACGGTAAGAAATGGCAGGATAGCCAAAACATGAAGAATTGCCTTTTCACTTTCCCTCAGCTGTACCATCCCCCAGTTGTTTCTTCTCTAATCACTTCCGGAGTGGCCAACAAAAAGTCTGAACAATTTGTCTACCACCAAAATGGTATTCCCAAAAAGTGACTAAAGTCCGAAACGGAACTCGGGAAGTGGCCATGGGTCAAAATCCCGTACCTGCAGGGAACATCCCAATCCCCACCAAAATAGGTTCTAAATTTTGGGTGGCGAATTCACCTACCAACCAAAATGCGATCCCAAAACGGTTTTGACAACCACCGCCAAGTGGGTTAATCCGTACGCATCTTTTTTGAACCCTGGCAAATGGAACCAAAGACTAAAACATGCAGTTTTTTTGTGGTTTCACTTTGACCCATACCCAGTTAAGCTACCAACCAAAATGGGATCCCAAAACGGTTTTGACAACCACCCCCTTCAACCTCCTCCTCCGACCCTACCTTCCTTTTCTTTGGCGCCAATTTACTTTGACCCATACCCACATCTGAAAATATATTCATTGGACCCTGGTAAGTGGCAACATGGCCCAAAACCAGTGGTCCAATTCCTGGTGGGTTAATTTTGACAACCAAAGTCAAAATTGAATCACTAGGGGACCGCAGGTTCTAGTCCATGTTTCCATTTACTAGGGTCCATTTTGGGTACCTATTTTTGACCACCACCGCCAAGTGAGTTCAGAGCACCACCGAAGGCCCACCGAACGACGACATCTCCTTCCACTCGGAGGCCTCCTCAATGGCCTCCTTGAGCCGCCGGCCCGACCACTCGCCTTCGCCTTTCACGCGGGGGGTTCGATGAATGGCGTGCAGTCCCCTGCCCGGAGTCTCCATGACCCCCTAGAAAAAGTGGTCATGACCCCTTAATTTTGGGAAATGACCCCATTTTTAAAGGTCATGGAGAGTCTAGGTAGCATCCTTTCAGGGAACATGCAGGTCCTCCAGATTTGAGAGGTTAGAATAAGGGTACCCGATTTCTTTTCTGTAGTCTACTTTCGTAGGAGAAGCCTCCCAACCAAAAAAGGGTAAAAGGGGTCTACTGGAGGACCTAGGAATGATCTGCTTCAAGGTAGGGCCTTGAGAATTTTGGAATTTGGGGGGGGGGGGGGGGTGGGGGGGTCCACAAATTGCCTTGCGGGATCACGCCCACAATGCAGAACACTAAAACACAAAGTATTCTAGCATGGCAGAAAGCTGGAGGCAGCTGCAAGCCTGGAGCACTCTCATTGAGCAAAATCACGTTTGCCTAAGCTGCATATTATCCTTCTAAATGCTGGGGCTAGTCTGGCCCTGACAGAAAGCTGGAAACCCAGCCACCAGCTGAGTTGCATCTCACATAACAAATAAACTTCTCCAGGTTGTAGACCGGCAGCTCCATGGGCGGCCGCAGGCTGACTGAATTTCTGTCAAGGGCCGCCGAGATTAAACACCCGCGTGAGTCGGAATTCGTGACATGCCCCGCTGCCTGCAAGGACTCGGAGAAGCTGGCGTGCAACGGCACTGAAGCCCAAGCGGCATGTCAGATTCAGCGTGCATCCTGGTCTCATTCAGCCAAGAGCCCAACAAGGCATGCAGCAAAGGCTTTGGGGCCCTCTCACTGATTTGAGACAAGGTGAAGTCGGGGAAGGTGATTTTGGTCACCAAGGCGCGATCAAACAGGGTTCAAGTTTCAAACTGTTCTGAGAGGGCCTTTATAACCCCTGTCAACTATCAGTTGGCCCCGAGCTCAGTGAGTAGTTATTCGAAGGCATAGTGCAAGGGAGGCTAACCACGACTGGCAACATGGTTGCGTTGCATTCCATGGAAGGTGGGTGGGTGCTCATTCAGCAAGGTGGCATGTTTACGCCATGAAACCGACAGAAGGAGAACTCTTTTCTTCAGACACCCTGCCAACTCCAAATCTCACGCTCCTTTTCTTCATTATTGCCCGAATCCGGAGAGTACTCTGAGCTACGGGGGCTGGTAGCCTGGGCTAATACTTCTGACTTCTGGATATCTAGCACTGCCTGGGCTCTGAATTTGTTGCAGCCGCTTTCTTCCAATGACAAATCTGTTTTGACTGACACCCACCGGCGATCTCTCAAAGGTTCCTTTTGACTTCAGCCGCCCCCCAGAATTTGGCAGCACTCCAGCCCCCGGAGTTACGCAAACGGCTCAAAGTTATGCCCAGCATGGTGCAGAAATTATTCTGGCTTCCTGAGAATCCCCTGCCTGGAAAACACCACGGGCAACACTCCCTACGTCCAGCGATTCCCTAGATGCGGTGGAGATTTATGCGTGTTCACCCATGCCAAAACAACTCCAAACAAAGGGTGCCATGGTGTTGTGTTCAAACAGGCTAGCAGGGGTCCCTGGTTCCAACACCTGCTGTTGTCCATCCAACTTGCCAAACTGAGCCGTGCGTATCAGTTGAGTCTTCATTTGCGTCCAGCAAACGCGCCAACACAAAACACGCCCCCTTTTCACAACTCCACACATGACTCGGTCAAGTGCCAACGGATGTCATTGAACAAGAAGCCCCTGTGCCAAACCAGTCTGGGCCACAGGCTAATTGGTCCAAGGCTTAATAAGCCCTCCCCACTTTGCCAGCAAAATACCCTTGACATGGGATCG